TGGGGGTACCCACTTCTCCCCTGACCCTCTCCACCTCATCACAGTCAACAATGGAGAGAACATGCAGAAGGGAAAGGAAACAGGTTTCTCGCCCCTTATAACACCTCTCTTAGCCCACAAAATACTAGAGAGCAGTTACGGAACTGTCAAAACCTTGCCCAACCAAGCCCACTACCCATGGTACAAACTAACACAGGTCCTTCAACGCACGGACGGGTTACGCGAGTGGCGCAGGTTTGACTGAAGCTCTCCGATCTGCAGCTGGAGCTTCTGCTTCTCGAGTTCCAGGTTCTCCGTTTCCATGTGCAATTTTTGCGTCTCCACGACGAGCTTCTTCTCTTCAAGCTCGATGCGACGCAGCTCTCGCTCCAACACAAGCTCTTGGAGTTCTTCCAGACGACGACGTTGGCCCTCGCGCCTTGGCACAGCTAGCCCGCAGCAACCAGGGCTTTGCGCTAGTGGCTGAGAAAGAGCTCCAGTCTCTTGAAGGCTGGGCCTCAGGCCCAGGTACTCGGGCCCTGCGAGGTTCAGAGACTGCATCTAACCGCACCATTCCCACAGCCAGGACCCAAATGAGATTTTAGGTAAAGGTTGTAGGCTAGGTGGCACAAGCTGCCCCTGATATCAAGTGTATCCACTAAAACAGCTATGAATTCATCTATCTATTCAAAAGTGGAAGATAAAGATGACATATGCCTGATAAAGGAAAAGAAGAGAAAAACAAGGATGTTGGACATATTTGCATAGGATGTTGAACAGTATTTGAGTGACAAGAGTGAGGCCTTACAAGCCTCACCCTTTTCTCTCCTTCAGGCCCATGGCAAAGCAAAGTTTTAGGAGCTGTTTTTGAGGACTTTGTTAAACACCATTTTAGAACCGCATGCTGGTAGGTCCTCAGAGTGTGTGAGTTTGTAAGAAGCAAAAATGGACATATAAAAAAACATTTATATAAATGTTTTTAATAAATCTAATGTCATCTTTACAGCATTGCCACAGAGTTGTATTCCTCCTTTCAATGTGATGATTGTGTGCAATAATTTAATTGATTGTGAAGATATTAGATTAGAAAAGAGCACTAGACTTTTAAATTCAAACCTCACATTGATCCTGGAAAGGATGCCGTAACAATATAATATTATTAATAAATTGTTTTATTTTTCATGCCGACAAACAACCTCTCGGTTTACAGTGTGGTGCACTAAACATATATGGAGTAAAACCTAAAAATACAGGAAAAAACAAAGTTAAATCAATACAAGTCATGCAACGTTATCATAATGAAAAAATTGATTATTGATTAGTTCGCAGACATCCAGTCACATAGGTTTAACATAAACCCATGAGTGGATGAAAAGATGTCGAGGCTAAATTTTAGTGAATCCTAAGCAATTTGTATCCTTGACAATAGGATCACAGCAGACAAGCAAGATGGCTAAAAAGTTGAAATGTTTCGGCTCGGGCGAGAGGGAACATGAAACTCAATAGTTGGTAATGAAGTCGCCGACACCCTGCCATGAACAACTTTGTGAAGGAATAGAAACACTCTGTACTGCCTTCTCACGGACAATTTATGCAGCGAAAATTTACGAAGCAATGTTTCATAGTGATAAAAATATCTCCTTCCAATGTAGCCGTCATATAAATTCTTACCATTTGTTTTTAACACTTTCAATAGCTAGCTCTTGCAACAGAATCAATGAATTCCAAATGACTCAGACAAATTCAAGTCGCGATCGAACTAGAGACTTAAATAAAAGTAGCAAGCAACAGGGAGCTGAAAATTGACGACAAATTCTTGAAATCATTCCTAACCTCCCCAATGCTGCATTTACTGTAGCGAAGACATGATTGTTCAAAGTGAGCTATCAATATACACTCCAAGGTTTCTCCCTGATAAAGGAGACTGGAGGAACTAATATGCCATCCAGGTAATATGCAAAACAAATAATATCACGCTTCTTGGATAACACCATTTATTTGGATTTCAAGGGGTTAAGTAACAAGCAGTTTTCTATACACCAACTCGATGTAAATCAGCTTGGAGAAGAGAGCAGTCAGAGAGTGACTTCCACACTTAGAAATAACTTAACATCGTCAGCAAACAGAAGGATGTTAGCACTGCTAACACAATAAGAAATGTCATTTACAAACAACAGGAACAAATGCGGGCTAAGAATTGAGCCCTGCGACAAGTCAGACGTTGAAATAAATTGTTCGGACAAGATTCCATTGACATAAACAGAATTGCGACGATCCCGCAAGTAGTTATGAAACCGTATACACAAATGCGGGCTGAAGCTATGTGAGGCCAGCTTGTGCAACAATAAATTGTGCTTAATGCAATCGAATGCTTTAGACATGTTAGGTAGATGAGGTCAACTTGACCTCTACTAGTAACTATTGGTGCGATGTAACTTAAGAACGAACACAAATCGGACCCTACAGACCTACCTCTTAAAAAACCATGTTGTTCATCAGATATCACAGTGTTCAGGTAAAAATAAACATGCTTATGAACTACTTTCTCAAAAAACCTCTGCAAATCCACATAATAATGATGTCGGACGATAATTAAGGGCACTGTGCTCCAATCAAACCGTTGCTAGGGCCGTTGTTATGGACAAATGCATGGGGGCTTGAAGTGAGGTTAGAAATTGTCTGATAAAAAAGTAAGTAATTTTTTGTAAGCATTGTGTCTTCTCGATATTTAATCATGAAGACTTTTTCTATCGTCTCAGTACCATAAAGCGATGATAAAAGCCCGTAATAAAGTATCACAACCGGTTTTACCTTGCCAGCAGACCACACAATAGCTTCGCAGGTTCAGTGGTTCTTTCAAAAGGACTACGCGGCTGTGTTAAATTATGTTGGTGACGAGCGACGAAACTTCACTTATTGGAGTCAACTTTCTGTGGGATTTCGAAAGAGAAGAGTGCCCGTACACAGCTTTGATCGATGCTCGAGGTGTGCGAGCATGCGAATGCCTGCCCGTGGAGCTCGCTTCCACAATGGGCGCGTTAAGTCCGTGCTTCGAAGCGCGAGAGTTTGGTTCTCCTTTCACTAAACGGACAGGAGTGCCACCGGAGACTGACACTCGAGCGCGCTCTTCGTGCACCAAGAATTTTTCGGAGCGCGAGTGACGTCTTCGCGCTCCGTGACATCACGTAAACAAACAAGATGGCTGCGCTGCTGCTGAGACCGTCGAGACGAAAGGCGTAGCCGGACCGCTGCCCCTTTTCAGTTGATTTGTGCATAATTCAGCAGGTAAAAACGATTTGAAAGCCAAGACGTCAATGAGCATTCCAAAAAAGGTTTGTTCGCGAATCTCGCCTGAAAAATAAATTCATCTATCAAACGGTAGTGAGCCGATAGCAGCACAGCGACAGAAAATTTGTAGAGATGAGACATTCGGACCGCTCTGTCCCTTTTTTAATCCTTAGCCCAGCGAATAAAAATACTTCAATTTGAAAGCCGAAACATCAGAGAGCATTGAGGAAAAGTTTTGTTCGAGCGTCTTGGCTGAAAACGAAATGACCTATCGAACGAGCGTGCCGATAGCTCGGCAACAGAAATATTGTGATGAAAAGACAGTCAGACCGCTGCCCTGCTTAGAATGCTTAGTCCAGCCGCAGCGAATAAAGATACTTAGATTGGAAAGTCAAAATACCACTTAGCGTTGTGGGAAAGGTTTCTTCATGCATACCGCCTAAAAACGTGCAATCGAACGACAGTGTGCCGGTATTGGCGTAGCTTCCGTCTTGCTGCGAGACGGAACCGACGGAACCAGGGAATCTCTGACAAATTTGAGGGTTTTCCTGCGTCGACGAGCGGGTTCAAGAATGTTGTCTTTAATTTAAATCGGAACAGCATGCATGGTCAATAAATACGGCCAAGGTAACCTTCCAAATTTGTGCACGAAGCGAGTCCTCAAACCTTTCAGGAATATTAAAACGTTTGTAGAAACTTCATAACGTCGCCCTCTCTTTTGCTTTAGACTGTCGCTCCACACGGGCCTAATTAATTTATCTTCGAAATATTTTCGTCTTCTGTCACCCGTATCCACGGTTGGAAGGAGCACGGGAAGGAGCTCGTGTAGGCCGTGGCCCGTCGATAGTTTCTGGCCGTGTTCCAAAACTTACTCGATCTAACTCTAGGGTAAAGGTGGTTATCAAAGACCTACCCACGTCCAGCATTTCTCTATTTTTGTTGTCACATGACATAATCCGCCAGGGTAACTCTGATCCATTCGAGTAGGTTTGGAACGCAGCTTCGGTGTAACGCGCTCCTGTACGATATGCGTCGTTTAGTTGCTGCGCTCGGAGTATGAAACTCAGAGCGTCGGTGTAGGAGTACAGGAGCGCCGACTTAACGCGCCCAATATCAGAGAAGGTGAAACTAAGCCCGCGTCTACAGTTGAAAAAATTTTAAAAAGCCAGCGAGACGACTTGACCCACGAGACGATGAGAACACGAAACGAGAGACGGCGGGAAAAACCATGTAAGACCGGATGGACGATTGATGCAGAGTACTTTCTGTCGGGCGGCCACTTGCGCCACCTAGCACACGCATGCTCAACTACAGCACTCAGTTTAGTTTCGGTTTTGAAATGCGACCGAAATTGGTCCTTTGGCGCAGGCTTGGCGCAGATCACTGCGCCAAGCCTGCGCCCTTGACGCAATTGGCGCAGCAATCACATCACTGGTTACAACACACGCAGAGAGAAACACTCAATCAGAGCTCCGCATTCTGACATCACAGCAACTCCTGTAAAAGATGCAGACGAACTTGGGCGTGCGACTCCTGCGGAACTCTGGACTCTTCTTCTTCTTCCTCCTCCCACCTCCCTTCCCTTCCCTTCAACCCCCCCCCCCTCCCCCCGCTGGGGCAGCCTTCGTATTTTTTACTTCTCTTTTTCTCCGCCGTATGGTCGTGCCGAGTTGAATACACGCTAGGCGTACCGAGTTAAATTAACGAACCAACAATCAACAAGAATGACTCACCAGATGCCTGCGAAACCTCGCTGGCGTCCTGGGAGTTGTCACTCGCTGCAGCCCCCAGTACGAGATTGGACGACATTCCACTTCAAGAGACATAAACCTAGGCAATGATTGAACAGTCGTATAAACATAGCCCGCAACTATAAATGATATTTCACTAAAGTTAAAAACAAACAAGAACCGCGTAACCGCAATGCTTCTATGCTGCAAAATGTTTTTTTTTTTTTTTTTTTCCTCTGCCCAAACTGGGTATTTGTTGCTTGTGACAACGCAGCACCCTAGAATTAATACTCCAGCCTATGAGGTAAGAATGCACGATCACGCATACCAGTTATTTCCGCTGCATCTGCTTTTATGAATCAACAGATAAGTGTGACTGGAGAAAAGAAAACTTACAATTGTTGTTTTGGGCTTATCAGGCTGCTAAACTGTCGTGGGAGCACTTGAGGCAACGAGCTCTAGAAAGTTGAACCGCAAAACTTCGGTTGCTCCGCAACCTCCATAGGAGAAACATCAAACCTCATTGAATCAAGCATGACCATATATCAAGCAATTACTCGAGAAAACCGTTTCACGTTATGCCGACACTGCCGACACTGCACAACTGTCATCAAGGCCCCCAGAAACCAAGAGGAGCCAGCACCTAGCGACCTAGACCTAGCCATAGAGCCAGACAGGAACTATCACTGGCACAAGCCGAAGCTTCCTAGTTCGATCGGTCTCAGTTGCACCGTTACTACTATTAAACGTTTAATTTATTTAAACAATTCAGTAATACAAATGAAGTATTTAATTTATAATATTTGTAAGACGTCCACTTTAGAGTTATTGGATGATTGGATCCACTTGACCTTCTGTGCACAAGCGCAAATGCTAGCAACATTGTATCATGGTGGTTTCTTCGCGCGAAGGCGAAGGCCCGCAAGGGTGTTTCTTCGAGGAATTCATTGTTTGGGTCGGAGATGGAATAAGTATGTTTCGCAGCTCTATGCTCGACGTTTTATTCCTTCGGTGCTGGATTGTTCGTCCAGTGTGCGGCTAACCGGGACCACGGACTGCGTCGTGGACGAGTGCCGTGACCTTTTTAGCTCGGGTGAGTCTGGGCTCACGGAATTTGGGATAAGCCTAGAGGCCTGCTCTACTCAGGTGGTAGGTCAGCCTAGGTCAGCCGGGTCTGTTCTGTTTTCAAGTGCAGCGCTGTGAGCGACTCAAATCGCGCCACTGATTGATTGATCCGGCGCATTTGAGTCAACTCGCGCTGCCCACTAACCGACAAACTACTTGTTACGCGTAATGCACGATAGGTTGAAGCAGACTTGGCTGTCACTGTTGACTGCCTTCCCCCTGCTGTGTGCATCTCGAGCATCGACGTCCTGTTCGTCGGTGATGCGCCCGTCAGTCGTCGCAGAAAAAACAATATGCGTTTCTCGCCTTGTTGGGCCAGATGAGCAGTTGAATATATGTATCAGTGTCGCGTGTTGCGAGTTTCTTTTTATTCTATGTACCGAACAAGCTCGAGGAGTTTTCTGACCCTGCACCTTTTTCTCTTGACTTCCGGTTTGCTTGCTAAGTTTTGTAGTATTCTGTTTTTCCTCTTCCAGTATCTTGGACCTGCAAAATGATACATATCCTATTGGTTCTGTTCACCTATGCCATGTTTGTCGTATGGCAATCTTTATAGAGGATAAAGCCCAGTAACGGGCATGTGTCAGGTTGATGACACCCCATGTCCAGAAACAGCAGTAGGGTCTGATTCATTCTACAAATGCTCCAATTGACTTTCCTCAGGTCTCGCTGAGAACCACGACCATGGGTTATGATCTGTGTCGTTTTCAAGGCGATGTTGATGAGGAGCTCATCTGCCCCGTATGCTCTGGTGTTTTGGAGGAACCCCTTCAGGTATGGCTATATCTGCATGCAGAGATCATTCAATCCAGTTGTTGCCTAATGGAAGACCGGTGGTACTGCATGCAGTGTCGAACTGAATCGAAATTGTCGCCGCCATCTTGGAAGTAAACCAGAAAAAAATGTAACAGTTAAGGCCTGTTCACACTCTTGCGACCTCTTAGAACCCGGTGCCTTGGAACCTTTTAATGTTTCTTACGAGAGGACACACTGGCGCCATCTGTTGGGTAGCAGTGTAAACTTGGCAGTCCGGCATACTTTCTCTTTCTCTCGCGCATTATCTTTTCTTTCTTGGCTCGAAAAACTTTTCTCACCGTAATAAACGAGCCTTTCTTATAGGTATTACGCACATTTGACCTTGGAAATCCTGCAAAACTTTCGCTCTTGTGAAATGCAGTTCGAGGGCCACCTCATAGATGGCGCCAGGGTGCCAGTGTGTTCCCTCGCCCTAAGAGATTTTAAGAGGTTTCAAAAGGTCTCGTCTCTCGGTCGTACTCAGTTGCAAGAGGATGAACAGGCCTTTACAGATTCGTAAGGGGTTCAGCCGAGTACTTTTTTTTTTTAATTGAACAGAATGTTTGATCATAAAATGCAAGCCATTACTTAGATATGATTATTTGTGCTGCTGTTGACGTGAACAAAAAGATAAAAGACTAGGAAACAGGTTTCAAAGGGCTACTGAAATAAAAATTTGAAAATACCTCTCACTTTCAGAACTAAGTTAAATATGATCAACAATATCTGCTAATTACAGTCACACACTTATATGTTGAACGGACGGCTATATTTTTTGTTCTAAATGGCTGATTCTGGCAAGCGTTTGAAAAGCAAACATCGGAGAGCGCAACGAGTTCAGGAGATTCAGCACAGATCTGGCGCATTCATGACGTCAGTGGGCCTTGTTCGATTAATGAGCGACTGTGGCGGTTTGTCCTCGAACTACAAATGAAGGGCAGCTCAACAGGACTTCACTCGTCAAAACACATTGACATTGTGCCATTGTATCGGTTTCATTGCTTTTAATGCCTCATGCTTCCGATACTCAGAAAAAGAAGCGTCGAAAAAGACGAAATACGCGGAAAGATAGGCGCTGACAGTGTTCGTCGTGCAAGATGGTGCCCTGTGAAAATGGAGACGGCGGGAAGCAAGGCCAGGGGAGAGGGTGTGCGTATGCACAGAAGATTACTGGAAAAAGGTGACGGCGGGAAGCAAGGCCAGGGGAGAGGGTGTGCGAGACTGGCGTGGTTACGAGTTTCGACGCCCGTTGACGTCAATGCCCGAGTAATGTTTGGGTGAAACGAGCGAAGGTGAAGTGACTCGCCCGCCTCCCAAAACTGAACAGACCCTTTCCTCTCAGTCTCACTCACTCGCTGTTTTCCTTTCTATTACCCAGCCGGAGTAGTTGTATCGGTGCGGGAGGGAAGAGAAGTTCTGTTAAAGGCCCGCCTACAGAATAGTCTTCTGCCGGGCAAAAAAACGGTTCCCAGTTTCCTCCTCTCTATTCTCTCTCACACTCTTTTCTCCTCCTCTCCCCACAAGAGCAGGTCTCTGAGCTCCTCCCCGCAGGAAGGAGGAGGGTCTCCCTCTTTCTCAAATGGAAAGAATAAACTGAGGGAGAGTTTCCTCCTTCTGATGGACAGCGCACGCACATAGCTTGGCTTCATATTTTTGCGAATTGGTGCTGCTCTTATGGGACAACAAAAAAGTGGTGTCTCTGTGGTGTTACCACAATATAGTCAACATTTTAAACATTAAAATAGGTGCTAGAGTTTCCTTTCCATAGCCCTTTAAATGCCAACTTGATCAGCCTTTAGCACATGCAATGTCATGCAGCTGTTGTGCCAATGGATGCGTCATCACAACTTTGTTTCACAAGCACAGTGATTTCTATGCAGTCTACCATTACTACTCTGTAGATCTGCTGATCTCTGCAGCCTTCAGTATCTTAGAACCTGACCCATTTTCCTGCTGTGCCATGGCCTTAACAGCAGTTTTGACCTATAAGGAAGTTACAATTACAAATGAAGTTACTTAAAGGGGTTATGACACGCCAAAAATAAAATATTACATAACTATTCAGCTAGGATCCATTCTATGCTCCTATAATCCTGCTAAATTTGTTTTAAAAAAGGCGCGATAATTTCGTGGATAAATCGATTTATATGCGGGCCCCTCGGAGGGGCAGATCCAGGCGGACCTGGAGGCTGATGACGTAGCCAGCCTCCAGCGTGGTGTCTACTTGCACGCACTCACAGACTCGGCTCTTCTTGGCATATCAACTCTCAGCTTCCTCGTTTACCTTCCACGTTTCCAGCATTCGGTCTGTGACGATTACGTCTACGGCATCGATCGCCTTGTCGAAGTGTTCGACATTGATCGCAGCAGCGATGAGAGTGATTGCTATCCAGAGATGTTGGAAGCTGTTCATTTTGACTGCGACCCGCTGGCGACGAGCTCCAGCGACGACGAGTTCGCCGTGGTCACCGTCGTCCGGGAATATCTCGCAGGCGCATGCAGGGTGGAAGGTCAACCGGCCAGGGGGCGAGAGCGAGAATAGCTTTCAGTTTACCGAGCTGTTTGGGCGGTTTTGTTCATACCGCTACGAAAAGAGCTTGGGCGATCATGGGGCGCCTAGAATGAGAGAGTGTTCATGGTCACGTGGTTTATGGACACCATGGTGTGACTAACTTGAGTAGTGTTGCCTGGTCGCCAGATGAAAATTATAAAAATTTGTAAATTGAATATTGCAATTATCAGAGCTCTAAAAATTGCGTAACTTGGTGTATATACTAAGTAGCCTATGAGCATTCCATTTCAAGAATAATCTATCCGTTTAATTTTCGTGTCATAACCCCTTTAACAATGGTATTGCATGATGAGGATGTTGCAGTCTCTACAACTTACCAAATACTAAAAAAGATTAAACATTCTATTTTATTAAATGCCTTTATGTACTGACAAACAAAACTGATTGACATACAGTTTTTTTTTAATATTTTAGTTTTTACAGGTTTGTTTTAAAAAAGCCGTAAAAGGTACACTAATGTGGTCTATGCAGGTGGGTTATATGGCCAGGGGACATAATATAGCGGGTTAATCGTCATGATATGTCATTTAACTAACACACATTTGTTACTTTCTAATTATTCAGAGTAAACATAGTTCCAATTAGAAATTTGCTGAATGTCATCGGAAACCACTAAATCGGACAATTTTAGGCAGACTGAGCGTGTGAGAGGTGTGATAGTATGCTAAAGTCGTCACTCGTGCAGCACACACAAGGGTGGTGTTTGCAAAAATGCACCCACATGGTTTTCTTGTTTCTTGTCATCCACATTTTCGCATCACGAGCCTTGCGCTTGTTGCACAGGTACACTACCGCACTTCCGACTCACTCATTCTCAAATTTACTGATTTAGTGGTTTTTGATGATGCTCAGCAAAATTCTAATTGGAATTTTATGCCTATTTTTACTAATTAAAAAGTTAATAAAGAAGTAAGGATTTATAATCAAACTTATTGTGATGATTAGTTCCCTATATTATGTCCCTTGGGCCATGTAACTCATCTGCATTAGTGTAACTGTCAGCTTTTTTAAAACATTTGTGATGTCTAAAGAAAACACCTTGTATAATAAAGACAATAAAGTTAAATTGTATCTTTGTGCAATGCTGCCAACACGGAAAGTCAAGATTTCCCTAGCAGATGCCTTTAATTTCCCTATTTCTGCTGACATTTCCCTCACTTGCCTAAATAATTATATTTATTTATTTATTTCAATACCCTCAGGGCCCAGGGGCATTACAGAGGGGGTGGACATAAAATATTGGCTCTGCATAAAATTCAAACAACAAGGCAACTTGGTTATAAATGTTAGTATGGCATAATCCTAGCAAAAGTGAGTAGCTAGAGCTTTTCTAAATAAATCTATTGATGGAATAGTTACTAATGATGCGGAAGGTGGTTCCATTCAGATGACGTTATAGGGATGAAAGAGTTTATGTAAGCAGAAGTTTTGCTATGAGGTATGCCAACTTTAAGTTTGTGATCAATGTGGGGAGAAATGAAGGGTGGGCTAATGAATAGTTTGTTTTTCAATGAAGCGTTGGAATGATAGATTTTATGGAAGAGGCATAGACGAGATATTTTCCGACGTGAGGAAAGAAGACGCAGGGCTAGGGTGGTTTTCATAGATGAGACACTTGCGGTGCAATGATAGTTGCAGACTATGAATCTTGCGGCACGATTTTGCAGGGCTTCGATGTTTGTTGAGTTCAGCGTTGAGTGACCTGGATCCCAGATTGCTGTGGCATATTCCAACTTTGAACGTATTAAATAGTATCCTCGATCATCCGCACCGGTGCGCACCGGGACACTGAGGTGCGCCCCTTCATCTTCGATCAAGTGCACCGGTGCGCACCATACGTCCTCGATCAACGAAGCGCACCCTCCCGGTGCGGCTTTTTGTTGCCCCAACGCGCACCAAGAAAATCGGCGGTGCGCCGGGGGGCAGTCCCATCAGGCATTGCGGCCAGGAGCGGGAATCGAGAAGATGGCGGGAGTAGCAGACGCGCAGACTATCGAGATGGCGATCTTGCAAAAACGAACACGCCTCGCAGCTGCACTAGATGATTTCCTCGGGTCTTCTGACAGCGAGACGACGAGCTTCTCACCATCGCCACGATTACTGGCGATTGCTGAGGTGGCAAGGAGCGCCCGAAAAGCACGAACTTCGTGGAAAGCGGCGCGAGGCGTTTCGATGACAGCGAGGTATGGCTATTATCTGGTGTTTCGTTTTCTTGGAACTAATAATGATGGCCAACATATACATGTGGAATTGTCACCCGCTTCGTGACCCCATCGACAATCACGTCCACGATGTTTATTTCTGTGGGACCGTCAGATCCGCGAGTAAAAAAATAGAAGAAATTGACAGCAGACGGGCACCGTGCGCTGACCTACGCAAAATAAACGAACAAAACGCGAAGTGACGT